TGAGGCAACAAAGAGTCTTTATTATCTAAGGATCCCATTCAATGCAATAAACTGGAGTAAAACACAAAGTTTGGGGTCTTGGTCTGTGGTCAGAAGAGTATTAGCACAATGTAAGGGGGCAGGGGGGGACAAGAAGGTTCTTATAGCAAAATGGAGGTAGAAAAACATGAAGAAGTTCTTGTGGGCTTGATAGTAGAGAGAGATACTTTTAGGAATAAAAATGTTTGGTGAGGGTCTACAGAAAGGGCTGAAAAGAAAATGATGGAAAAATAATGCAATGAGCTGAACTGAAGATATTTTGGTAGATCAGAAATTCTATAGAAAAGTATGTGACTTCCTTTGTTCATGTAAGCAGATAAACTGAAACATGGACTCTGATCTCCCTGGGGATCCCAAAAAAAAGGGGTGTATCTCCCAAGGGCAAAGTAGAATATAAGCAGTCTCTGGGCTGCAAAGCAGTTTCTGAGCATCATAAATAAATATAGAGTAAACTGTTTAGGAAAAGTAGAACAGTACGTTTTGATCGCCTTGGAAACTGAAAAAGCTTCTTGGATTAAACTTTTCCATCACAACCAGAATGGAGTGCACAGCCTCCGACATTCCACTGTGACCCAAGTGATGGCTGAAAAATAAACCACAGAGTTTGCTAATGCCAATCTGCTCTGTGTAGAAGGAGTGTGTTCTAACATTGCTATATATAATGGAGTTACATAAAGAAATATGATAAAGTCAATAAACAGGAAAATTTTGGCAAAATTACTTTATGCAATGAGTAGTTTCCATGGCAGTGTTTACAGTCTGAGCTCAGTACCCAATGGCACTGCTTAAAATACTTTCAAGAAATTCAGCTTAATAAAGTACTGGTCTTTGCAAGACCAAATTATGCTGAAATTTGTAAAAGCAGTATGTTTGTATTTTAGTACAAAATTCCCCATTTTTGATAGCTTAAGCAGATGAATAAAAAAGATTATTTCCTCTCTAGTTGTTTCAATAAAAAGTACAATGTTTTACTTTTGTGATGCACTAACCAAGGGTTAAATTTTGAGGATCTTACCAGCTGTTCCAGTAGGAGCAAGGCATCATTTGTGGAGCTAGCCTTAAGCAACTGGAATCCTCCTAAAAACAGTCAACTTGCACAGAGGTGTTTAATACTTCCACTTTAAATGGGGAATATAAAAAAAAATTTCTCAGCTGTATACAAGGCTGAGCTGTTGGAGAGATAATATTCAATACTGAATAAATGGCGAGAGTAAGAGATAAGTCTGCAACTCCTCAGAACTAGACTGCATTTAACTGAGCATATGTATTTTCTTCTTGGAAACTTACACATCAGCACACTGGGAATCTTTTTAATAGAAAAAGCTGGTTTAGGTATCTAGAAGTCATTTAAAACTGTATTACTTACAGTTTTCCCCTCTGAGTTCTAGGAAATTGGATTAATAGTATGCACAGATGAAATTTTATACTGTGAGGTAGATAGGAGACCAAAAAAATCCCTGTGATTTCTTATTAAAATATGTCTCAAAAGCACAGTTATTTTTCCTCTTAAATATTTGACATATCTAAAATGTGAGAGGTACAAAGGTACAAAGATTTTATTAGCAGCTCTTTGAGATGTTTCATGAATAATTTGTGGGACAAAAAATCCTTATATAGCCTCACTATCCCATCCCAGCACAAAAGCTTTGGGATCACATGAAAATGTGGTTCACTACTTCCTATGTGAATATGGGAATATATTCTACTGGATATTTTCAGTTATAGCAAGTTCTAATGTACTAGCACTAGCTGATATACAGTGACTGCACTGCAGCCATACAATCAGAGCCAGAACTGCAAACTCATCCAGAAGCCATTGCCAAGGAAAATCCCCTGACTATACCTCTGCTCGTGATTTTTTCTCTTATTCCTAGGAAAAACAGACCTGACAGCTTTGAGACAGACAACTCCATTTTGCAGTTTTCTCCATTTTTGTTTACTTTCTTCCCATGAAAATATTTGCTGTTTCACAAAAAGAATCAAATCAAAAGTATTCTCACCTGTCTTCTGATCCAAGTTTGATCTGTTCAAGTGCATAGGTGATTATACTTCAGAGTATGATTTGCAATATCGGAGAATGGATTCAAGTCTTTCTTCCCTCTGATTCAGAGAAAAGCATTCCCTTCTAAATCAGGTAAAATACGAACATGAACTTCATGTTCCTATTTTCATATTTCATCTTCATAACTGCAGATATTTTAGTCCAGAGACTGCTACTGCAGGAATACTTTTTTTTGACTGAAAATATTCTTATCATCTCCTGTTCTTTCACACCTTTAAAGCCCACTTGTGAGAACCAAAAGTAGGTTGAACATGTCTCACCAGTTTAGCTTCTGCTGGATGATTTGTTGGTCTAAACTTGGCTTCAATTCTGTGTGAAGATTAAAGACTCAACTGCATATGTGTCACTGCCAACTTCAACCATCTGTCATTACTTTCAAGTATGCTTTAGCTGTGATATTTACCTACTCACTGCTGGTTTGTAAACAGAACATAAAATGATGAATACCTTAGCACTTAACCTTTCCAGAGACCTTATCTTCTGATTTAGCACCTGATTCTCACTCCTTGCTAATAGAGCTCCCAAACCAAACCCACATCGATTATTTTCCCTGTGATAATTTGCCAGATAGGTGACTAATATGTGAAAAGTTTCATTTTGAAGCAGCATGCAAAAACTTCAACCAGGCAGCACCTTTCATAACAATGTCTTATTAAAATAACAAACATTTCCAATATATATTAGTGTCTACGTCTGTATGCATATATATTACATGGAAAAAAAAGCATAGCTGTTTGCAAGCATACCACCTTACATGTCAACAAAGAGAGCATTATAAAAATTGAGATAAAAAATTCTCTGTCATTTATGCCATAAAAACAAAGACGTTGTTACCAATAGGTGGTCTATCAACAGGAAATTCACTAAGACTGAAAATTACTAGGCAGTTTTGGCAAAAAAAGTGCTGAACAGGTCAGTAGCACAGTCCTGAAGAGGTTTTCTATATTATTTCTTTTTAAACCACATCAGTGAATCTGTGTTTTTTTCTGGATAGGCTAGAATTACTGCTGTGATGTAGAATTATTGTATAAATAGCATCTACAGATAACCAAATTTGTTAATTTGTATATGCAGTGTCTCAAAAGGAAAGATTCAAACCAGATTTTTCCAGATGAGTGTTTAGTACAGTCATGCCTACTCTTATTTAATGAATCTTGAAAAAAAATTTCTGAACAAGGGTTCACTGTGAAAAGGAGGATGGTGTGTCCTATAACATGGAGCCAGGACCTACAGCAAACTGTTTCCTAGTGTTCACTGGCCCTTTTAGTCAAACATTTACATAAAGAACCAGCAACAAAAACATTGAAAGGAAGAAAGTAACATCTTGGATATAAGCTAGAGGGATGAATACATTGGAGGGGAAGTGAATAAGTGGAAATAATATGAAAGTTACTGATGAGCAGAAATCACATCATTTAAACTCAATTGAAAGAACAGCGATTGCTACTAGAAGCATTTGGAAATTTCTTCCTTGTTCCCCAAGAAAGGTCTGATATGGCCTCCACATTACTATCTACAGAAAACTGGTTGTGCTGGAATGACCTGGTTTTATTCCTTTATTCTGGACTATATTGGCATTCCTAATTACTTTTTCTTGGGGAAATTTTCATTAACAACGCACAATATTACAAGAAAAAATAAAAAACTTTCTTAGCCTTTACCTGCCTCAACTGTTAGCAGTTCAAAACCCTATGTTTCATGGTGTAGGGTAGCTTCTGGAAGGGAACTATGTTCTTTCCCCTTTCTTGCACACCACCTTGTGGAAGATGTTTGTTTGTTAAACTCACTGACCCATCTGAGTTCCACACAGTGCTGACAAAACAGTTAGTGTTTATTTTATGTCCATTATCTCCTGCTTGTGTCTTGTTTACGATTTGTTACTGTATTTAGCTGCCAGGCTGAAACTATAAAATATATCTTGATGTCAGTGGGAAATTTTCTGTGTAAAATACAATGTTAGTAAATAAATCAAAAGCATTAGTGTTACTCTACTAATAAAGTAGAAAAAGAATAGAAACTAGTAGAAAAGTCTAGCACTGATTTCTGTTTCAGGATGTTCTCCCCATTTTTCTTAGTTAAACCCATGATAACTGTGGAGGTGGATGTTTTAATCTTTACTTTTTTTTTTTTTTTTTGAAAGTTGTTGGCTCTTAGGGTAAAGGAATACACGTAGGAGGACTATTTAATTTAAAAACAGAGACTGAGGTATTAGTACACCTAGATGCATGGACTCAACTATGGGGGCCTCATAGTGGACCCACTTTCTTCAGCTGTCATAGATACCACCAGTTGCAGCAACGGTCTTCCATGTAAGAGCAGTAAATCCCTCTCAAACCACGAGTCTTTCAAACAAGCTTTTTATATTGTACAATCAGAAAACACAGGAGAGCCAAAGTCTGAAATTCATGACATCATGTAGTTCAAAGTAGCAAAGGCCGAAGTATGTAAGCTTTAAGAAGCATTCTCTAAAATCCCTGATGTCATTTAGATATACCACTTTATTAAATGGGGATCATTATTGAACTCATTATAAAATTCAAGGCAGATTTTATGCAACATTATATGTTTGATTGCTTTTTACCACAATTTTATGTTTCAATTCTTCTTGTTTGAGGTTTACAGTTCTGTGACAGTTCTATTTTTCTTAACCTGTAAGGAACATAAACCACCACCTGTTCTCAGAAAGAACTCTCCATCTACTTGAATACAAGCAAAAGCTGCGTTATAGTCAGATAACAAAAATGTGTCAGTGTTTTCCCATGTTTGAGCCATACTACACACATGGTGTTGCATACAATTCAGCCAGTGTAATTACAGCCCGAGAGCTGTAAGAACAGATGCTCATTTCGCTGCAATATAGTTGTAGGTATAAATACCTGAATATCTTGAACCAACTTACCAATTTCCACTGGAAGATAGTTGATTTGATTTTTTGACAACTCCAGTACTCTCAGATCTTGAAATAATGCAATGTAGGCTGGAATGGTTTGTATCAATGTATTGTACACGTGCCATTCTTTCAGATAGATCTGTTCTTTCAAAGAATCTGGGAATTCCTGTAGATGAAATAAGAAAGGTAAATGGAAAGCAACAAGTTAGTATTTTGTTCTGTTTCTAAAAGGGGAGGGAGGGCACACGACAGTCAAACCCTTGCCTTAATTATCTTCATGTAGAAGAGCAGTCTACCCAATGCTCATAGGAGCTGTTTGCTTGTGAAGAGCATTGCAGCTGTCTGTCACCACATACTCATTTTTTAACTGCTAATGAATCATTTTGCTCTAAAACTGAAGCCTATCTGAAGCACTCAATCCATTTTGTGTCTCCCATATGATCTCCTTTTTCCAGATGGAGGATTTTTTTAAAACACATTTCACTGCTTTAATTCACACATCAAGATGTAGTAAAATGCAACACAGAACAGAAGAGTGGGTGTATGGAGAATATCTAAATAGGGTTTGCCACCAAAAAAAAGTGTGACTACATTCTTAATACCTGCCTATGTTTCAAAAATTTTGCCAATGTGGAACACAGTCCAAGGAACAGAAACATTTCAGATAGCATACATACATATCACCTTTTGAAAGTCTTTTTTGAAATAAGTGACTTAACTTTCTAAGTTATTTCAACAATTTTTAAAAATGTTTACTAAATTTCTTTAGGAAGACTAAAAATACTCAATTTTTAAGTCAGTCCACAACTGCAATTAATTCTTGCTTTAGTCACGCAGAATCTTTTTCTTTAAGAATTCTTGTATTATTCCAAATACACAGCAAATAAATTTGCTTCTGAGGGATTTTCAGACTATTCTATTTGTCCAGAATCTGCAGTGTATAACAGTTACTGAAACTAAAAGTTTTAAAGCCTTTAATTATTATAAAATTGTTTTAGTTAATTGGTATGCAATTCAGATGTACACATCTTTGTTTGAATTGTGTAATCAAATTCCTTGAACTTGAAACAGACAAAAATCAATTAATAAAGTTTAAGGTCAGATCATTTAAATGCCACTTTCTAAAGCAGTACATAATTTGCCAGTGTCCTGGGTTTTATATCACTGTGCATCAGTAACATCTGGAATAAATAATCTGGATAAGGTGTTATCACTAACTTGCTCCATAAACAAAAGAGATGTAGGAGTTTCAGCCTTTAATTCCTTTATAACTTCCAATTTTTTTTCCTGTGCATGAGAATACAACACAGTAGGAATTATTGGTTTTTATACAGAAAGAATTGCCCATTTTCTTTTTTTTTTCTTTCTGGATTTCATAGATCCAAGACATTAACAAGAGTGATGCATTTTAATTGGTTTTTATTAATTCTGAACTTCTGAACTAGGAATAGTGCTACTTAACCCTTAGCTAAACAAAACCCTCTAACTGTAATTAAATATGTGCTGGACTGTTGTTCATAAGCTGTTCTTTATTTGGTTGCTGCTGCCTCTAATTTCAGTTCTTTTCAATTTTACACATGCAGACACTTAGCCTATATATGTAGTTCTGCCTTGCTACCTGCCCTTACATATTTGATATAGATCGTTTCATTTTCCCACTAGGTGTATATTGCATTGTGATCCATCTTCTATATTTCTCAGTTTATGGCAGCTAAAAAATAAAATGCCTGAAATGCCTCAGGGCTAGTAATGAGAAATCTCTCCAACTTTCTCGAGTGGTTTTCCACTCCTCCACTTTCAGTGCTGCACATTTTTCTGCAGCAAAACAAAAGCATAAGTACCAACTGCAAATTTAATTACTATTGTCTTTCCCACCTGTACAGAATTGAAAAAGAAACACATCAGGGATAGCATTTAGTTGGAGTATCATAGATGCCACTGTAGGGAAGAACCCTGATTCACAGAGAAAGCAGATACAGAATGGTCATACTGGAGAAAAAAGGATGTCTAGGTAAGGGATAACATTTGCCACTCTGTTTCTCCACAGTTCAGGTTTGGCTTTATTTTTCTACCTATCTATTGGTATTTTGCACCTTGTTGTCACAACAGACCGTCTCCAGCTCCTTACTGGCAGATACAGCAGGGAGCAAAGGGGAACGCTTGCCCCTGTGAAGCCAACAGCCTTGCTGTTCTCCCACACTGAAGGGTGTATCCCACACACTTCTCCTTGATACATTGAAAAAGGTGCAGCACACAAAGCCTCTCTCAGAATAAGATCAAACTCCTTCACAATTTTAGAAAAATGAAGCAAAAATATTTTTAGATTATTTTTTATTAATGCAAAAATATTTTTTAAAATCTTTACTTCTGTGTTAAGGGTAATTTGAAGCACCAAGATATTATTGTGCAGCAACTGAAATAAATTTAGACACGACTTCAAAGGAATAGAAGACGGTTCCATTCTTCTACCAATTGCCCTGACTTAGTTTTCTCCTTGAGATTATTTCTTTATATTTTATAAGCATATTTACAATTTGCAAATGTAAGTTTATAAATACTTTGCTATAATGTGGTTTTTTAGCATTCTCCATCTTACAATATATTTTTATTTGTGTGGCTGAAACATAAATTGATGTGATATTTTACTTCATTTACAAACTAGATAGGGATGAGAACTGAAATTTGCACAAGCTTTACATTTGCTTTACTCTCTGATTCCCTTGTGCTCTTTTGTAATCTTCTGCTGCCACACAAAAGCTGACAGCCTGCTGATAAATTGCTCCATGAAGACTGACACGTGGAGGATAGCCAGTCTTTTGCCTTTAGTGGCAAAACAATACCTCAAACTCCTTTGACTTTTGGGAGAGAAGAAAAAAAATTTATTAAAAGGAAACAAATAGCAAACCTACAACCGACCACTGCTGATTATAGTCTTTCTAATTAGGAGAGAATTTACCTGCTAGACATGAGCCTGAACAAAAGCTGTGATCAAAGCTCTGAGAATTTTCAATTCTGTTTCTTTTCCAGCTCTGTAGTTTTATCTGTCATGGGCCAAACCAAAACCTTGGATCCAAATCTCTCTCATCTTTGAGACAGCTTGGAGCTAATTACAAAACTGGTATGTCTCAAGGCCAACTGCATTACCTGACTGGGTCAGGAATTTTATACTTTTTGGGGGAAAAAAATCTCTGGAAGTTAAATAAGCACAAGAGGTTTTCTCTGTCCATTCAATGAAGAAATTCTACTTGACCCTTTGCAGCAAATAAATACCTCACTGTAATTAACAGTTGGGAATAAAAGGTGGAAAATCCCTGTTCTCTGTGAAAATTCACAGCAAGTTAAACACAAAACTGGGAGGATAAATACAAATGTAGTAATTAATTTGCTGCCTTTTTCTGTGAAGAAATTATGTGTAAGAAGGGCATGATTTATGAGTAAAGAATTTTACCATGACTCATTCATTTACTTGTTGTGCACATTGGACATTAAAGTTGTTTAAAGTAGGTATGTATCCAGATCCTCTGCTTAGGCAAAGCAGCACAGCCAGAAACAGTCCTGCTCTGTATTTGAGCGAACATTGTCACCTTTCCTTTGTCAATATTGATATCACAAATTAAAAAAAGGATTTTCCTTAGTATTTTCTGAAAATCATTTCAAATTCAGTGATCCACTACAGAATAAACATTCATTAGTTAGGAAGTAAACACTCAGAGGGCAAAAGCAGAGTTAAAGTGAATTCATCGAAAAATTCGTATGAATATTCATGGCATTATTTTGCCACCATTTTCATTCTGCTCTAATAGCAGTACTATTTCTCTGAAGAAGAAATTTAATTCAGTAGATGCTTGTTTGCATGTACAAAGGATCTCAGTTAAGTGTTTCATTAGCTCTCCATCATTCTCTCCTAGGCAACTTATTCAAACACACAGTCCAAGAGTCCAAAGTCCTTATACAGCTCATTTTCATGGTGGGTTTGCCTGAAAAACTCTCAGATAAGTAGAAAGTCTGAAACATACCTTGGAAACCTCAGATTAGTTATGACACAGTATACCATTCTCATGCTGTCAAGTCCCAAGGGTTTTGCAAATACAACAGGATTTAGGACACTCACTGCTGGGATAATACAATGGGGTTCTGCTCATTTTTTATAAAGAGAAGAGAAATGCCTGTCTGATTTCATTCACAATATCAGATTATGAGACTAGCCCATTTATTATTGCAAGACCTTTTCTTTCCTAAATGCAAATATTAATTCATTACTGTTCCCAGCTGGCACCACACAGGGATGTAGATAATTGAGTCATAAATATTTGTTTGATATGTAAAAGAGGAGGCAAGGACCTCTGAACCTTAAGGGTGTCGTCACACAGACTGTTCGAGATGGAGCTCTGACAGACAAAGGTAAAACTCCCTCATCACTGCAATTATCAACCACTGTCCACAGCCAGAAGCTAACCACCCTGGACAAGCATGGCCAAACCAGTACCCAAGTTACATGAGGATTTTCAGATTCAGAGGGGCTCACTGAATACATGTTTTTCAAGTGTGAAGGCTTGATACTAATCCTACTCACAGCCCTAAGTTAGTGTGAGCACACTGTTGGAAAACTGTTGTGACTTGAGATGTCTAGAGGCTCAAACTGCACATCTTGAAAAATTAGCCTAAGAGTGAATGATAACTAGTAAGATTTAATGATTCACAGGGACTTATGGATCTGCATAAAGAGAATACAATTCCTCAGAATTCATATACTGCAAAATCAAGCCCTACTCCCTTTAACTAGTACTCTGTGCCTATTTGTCTAACCTAATATTCATTGTATGAGCTTTATCTTTCCTCAGATATGTTAAAATAATTACTTTACAAGTACCAGAAACATTGGGTCTCCACCTAATGAAAATACATTATTGTGTCAATGACATTAAAGAGGTTGTAAAAAAGTGGTACAGATGTCCTGAAGGAAGCACTTCCCATTAGAAATTCAAAATGTGTGATCTGCTCTGATTTTCTCCCGTACGAATTTTCTCAGAAGGAGAACCAAGATGATTTTCAGAAGAGTACTGCCCAGGTGATTTTCAATATATTTGTCCAAACTATGCCAGCATATGATGGAGTGTTTTACAAAACCTGTTTTTAACCTCATGCTCAACAATGCAGTATCAGTAGGCCAGATTCACTGTTATGCTGTATGGATATGTAGCATGTGACAACAGCATCTTTGTAGCATGTCCACAGTTTTACAATCTAGATAGCCTGGCAACTGATTAGTGCTCAACACAAGCTACCATTCTAATTGACTGCAACATTGCATGTAACACCATTAGCTGTGAACTTCACTCATTTGCTGCTGAAGTTCCCAGTGAGAACCCTTACATTGAGACCTATGGGAAGGATATGATAAAGCCACTTGCTTTGATGTTGAAAAATCCCTGTGCTGGGATTACTTCTCTGTGAGACCCCCCAGTATTCAGAAAGAGAATGGGGACAGCACAGAAGCAAGTCCAGTTTTTGAAATTAGATCTGTGAGTCATACCAGCAACCAACTCAGACTTAGCTATCAACTGCCTAGAGGATGTATTACTGCTTCATTGATGAGAGGAAAGGGGAAACGTAATAGAAATACTTATCAGCGAAAAGTAAGTGAGATACAGGATTCAGCAGCTGGTTCCCAAATGGACACTTCACAGGGCTGTGCTGTTAGCTGCTGCCAATGGTAACTGGCCAGCCAACAGTAAACCAAGCTGGTTATGTGCCTGTAAAATTGCACAGGCAATCCTAGCTCTGACTTCTCCTACTGTCTGAGTGCTTAATCGTCCAAACTTTCAACTCATAGATGTATTCGTGTGCAAAACTCATTACGAAAACTAAACCACAATTGATACCACAGCTCCCAGCTACATAACATACAGGCTTCTCTGAGAAAACAGTCACATGTCCACAGATCTTTTTCGCATGCAAATTGCCAACCTGTGCAGCTTTGATTGTATAGTCTGCAAATTCATTTGGCCTAAGTGCACCTTTTTGTGAGAGAGTAATAGGGGAAAAGAATGTCCTATCTGATTCTGTCTTTGGTTTAGAAGCAGAGTTGAGATTAAAAAAAGCAAAATTGGTGATATGATTTGTATAACTGATAGAGTTTTCACAAAGTTTCTGCAATAAAGGGAAATATACTTCTTTCAGAACTTTGTCGAGTGGATTTTTCACATTTTTAAAATAACTTTGAGCCGCTAGATACCGGCAATGTTCTTTGATTTTGAAGGAGCATTGGTCTTCTCTAAACACAACAGCTTTGATTTTATCTTTTTCTGCAGACAAGTGAACTATGTCACAGTATCTTATTGAAACAGGAAGCCCACTTGAACCAGGCAAGAGCTGGACAATGAGGCACAGAGGTTTTGTGATATGGCCACAGTGAGCATATGATATGGAGACAGAATCAAAGTGCATGTGGTCAGGAGTATAATGCTCAAGGTGTAATGTACATAACAGTACACTAGTATCTCTTAAACATGATCTTCCAGCATGTCAAATTGAAATGAAATGCTCTGGAAAACAGAGGAGATTACATATATTTGATTTTGCCTCCTAATCTAAGGCCTTGTTTATGGTGACAAAGCAAAATGATAATGGTTTGGCAAAAGGGAATAAGCAACAGTGAAGTTCAGTTATGCAGCTTTCTGCTCCCCGATGCAATGAAAATATTTGCAGTTACTACTGTATCAGTGTCTAAGGAGTTGTAATATCTCTTTTTTTTTCTCCTAACATACCTACAAACTTTGCAATACAGGAAAGCATGCAGTATAAGACTACACAGCTTTAACATTCTCAATATCCAAGGTTCTTGAAAGATGGGATGTGATAGCTCTCCAACAACCCATCCTACCACTAACTGGCATCAGCTGAAGAACTAGTCTCCTTACTAGAGCTGAATGGGAACCAGGGTTTTCTATTTTCCAGGAATTTAATCTATTTTTTGTTTATTCAGAAAAGAAGTAAAGCCAGAAAAAAAAATAAAAGCTGAAAAAGAAAACACCTTCATATTCAAGATCAAATCTGGGACAAAGTTACCTTTCAGAATTTTTTTAGAAAAATTTAACCATTTTATTTATTGACTTTTTGATTCACATTTTTTTAAATTTAAACCTCAAAAATATATTTCAAAAACATAAACTGCACAAAAGTCAAAATTCTAATTTCATTTTCTCATTAATAATGTAATTTATATTCAAAATACATTTCAGTCAAAGCTTTAACAATTCTGATCCATCTTTTGTTGATTTTCAAAACAGCATTAGTTCAGAGTTTGCTTCCAAACTGCTATTTCAGATCAAACACAACTGTAAGTAAAAAGTGCTTTTTTCAACAAGAGAGTGCAGTTTGATGCTAATATTGGTTTTGATTTGAACAGAGCTCAAGAAAATATTATCACATCACTAGAGTGAGAAGACAGCTCTTTGAGTTGAAGACATCAACAAGCCAACAGAGCTGAATATTATTTTCATCTCTTTCTACCCATTGGGGAATTTCAGAGAAAGATACCTTACTGCAATATGTTTACTTTTACCTTTTTGAGAGGGGTAAACTACCTGTATCAGTAGAGAATTTAAAATAACCATATTTGAAAACTAAGATAGGAAATTCTTTCGTGACTTCTAACACTGTGAAAAAAAAATATTTTCATATGTATTAGCAAAAAAAAAAAAAATTTTGATATTAAAAAGTTACTGTGCTAATTTACCTGAACTGGTTAACAATAGAAAAATCTTTTCCATTATATTTACCATCCACTGCTCTCCAGAAAGCTGAAAAATAAACTTGTTTCTTTCCTTATTTGCTTCATCTGACAAAGCATGCCTCTTCTTGATCTCAGAAGTCTTTCCGTAAGTGTCCAAGATCTTCTTATCAGTATCTGCAAAGCCATTTTTGAGGTATTTTGATTGAGGAATGCCTTTCTTCCGGCACTCTAGTATGAAATTCCACTCCTGCTTTATCCTGAAACAGTGCCAAAAAGGGGTTATATGAACCAGCTGAAATGATATTACAAATGAGTCTTAAAGCTTGATCTTTTTTTGCACAAATACTTAACAAAATATAAATATAATTATGCACCTAATATATTGACCTTTTTTTAAAAAAAGAAGAAAAAAAAGTAATTTCTGGAGGTATGCTTAGATTTTGTAGACTTACATGTAGATTTTAGATGAGCAGGATTTCATTTACTGACTATAAAACAGTGATACCAAATGAATAACTGAAAAGTGGAGACTGAGCACGCTGTCACAGAAAAAAGTATGAATGATGCTCTTTATTTCGATAGGGTAGGAAACACATCCTCACAGAACAACTTATATTTATAAACAAAAGCTAGGACCTGGTCATACATGCAAAATTTTTCAGTTGGAAAAAAGTCATTTTAGAAAGTAAGAAGTTATAAATATTCCCTTTTCCCTGCCCTATCTTGTTCAAATATAATGATCTATTTTCATATTTTACACATTATTTTCCAATATCATCTTAGAAGGTGGAGGTAAAGGTCAAAGTTATCAGATGCCAACTAATTTCAGATTCAACTTCAGTGTATCTTTAGGGTTACCTCCAGGGCAAACTTTTACCCCTATAACTTCAGGTGCAATTTCAATTTGATATAATTAAACAGTGCCAAAAGCAGGTCCCTTAATCTAGGAGAGATTTATTTCATCTTAGTCAATTAAGAAATAGGTTGATTAACTGAAGCAAGCCTTCATTATACCAAAATAAGACTCTGCAAAGCCCCTTACATCATAAATCTGATCTCACTCTTTGAATGCTAGATTCTTGTGGTACATGAGGTTCATTTATGTGATCTCCACCCTCTGGCAGAAATTTTAAGCAGAAGATTTGAAGAAAGCTGACAGGTGAAGAAGGGCACAAAGTTCAGGATAATGTACCCCTCAGAGAAAGCCAAAAATGGCATGGCCTATAAAAAGAACCACATGCAGCTTTGTGAAGTTCGAGGTAGGAAGTAACACCACCAGTGCACATATTCCCAGCTAAGCATGGGACTTTCTCTAAAACAGCAAGATGTTTAAAAAATGGTACATGAAAGAGAATATCCAGTTTTAAGTCACGTCACATACGAGAAATCAGTTACAAACTTAGGAACAAGAAGCATCTTCCAAACTTGGTGAAAATAAGTAATTTTTGGGCACTCATAGCAAGGTACAAGATAGAAGCTGCAGGACAGAGTATATTTATGGGAGTATGACAGCATAGATTGAAAGTCGTATTTGACTCAATGATATCAAAATAAATCTTTAGCAATCAAAATTGCATGCCTAAATAGGAAAGGTATTACTGAGAGAGCCGTAAACTGCCACACAAATTATGGTGCTTACTGAAATCTTAGGGGATGTTAGAAAGAGTTGAGAACTGAGAGCACGGCAACAGCAGGAGACTTCAGCTATTGACATACACAGAGCACATTGACAGCTCTGCAGACAATATAGTCTTTTGGAAGTTAAGTACGACTGTTTATCAGAGCAGCTAGCCTGAGAAACCACAAAGGGACCTGATTTAGTTTCAAGGAGTAGCACACTAAACATGGATCACCAGAGAACTACAGAAAGCCCCTTCTGTAATAATGACCACAATGTATTCCCATGTAACATTCTTATAAAGAGAAAATAAGGAAAAATATCTTCTACAAGTATTTCAGAAGATGATCTATGTATAACAGTGAAGTTTGTTAAAAGTGCAGCTTGCTGGGTAAAGTGCTGGCAGACTGCATAAAGAGAGCACAACCTCAGAGTAAGTACATTCTAACAAAGCCATTTTAAGGATCTCTTTCTCCCCTCATTTCCAAAAATAAAAAAATAAAAAAAGATAAAATGGCATTTATGTTTAAATGAAGAAATGAGAAAGTAGTATAAGCTCTGACAAATTAAGCATAAAACACAAAAAAGCAAGGGAAATCACTGTGGGTATACAAATTAATAAGAAAGTGATTTCTAGCATATTAGAAGCAGAAAGCCTCTCAGAGAGACAGTGGAAGCAAAAACTTGTTAAGGTATGAAAGGAGCAGTGAAGGAACAGTTGAAGAAGTTATTGAGAGCTGCAGAAAAGTTACTCACCCTTGGTTCAGATTTCGTAAGAGAGATCAGCATGCTCTTTACAAATGGGCATCTAGTGGACTTTCTGATATTTAAAGTGTCAATCAAGGAGGCTTGATAATAAAAAATATATATATTTTAAGTAAATCTCCCAGTTTCTCTCAATGTCTAATTGTCAACGGCTTTATACCACAGTGAGCTGTGACATGTAAATGAGTTAGGAAGAAAAATACTGGACAGACAGAAAACATGTCCAGCAACACATTCAGTTCAGGGAGTCCCTAGAGGCATACCGAATCTACTGGTACAGTCAAGGAAGAGTCCACCACCAACCCACAACACTTCAAAATCTTTTCTGAAGCTACTTGATGTAACAAAGGCAAGAAAATATGTTAGAGCAGAGACAGCTCCTTAGCCCATTTTCTGATCCTTCAACATGCTGCACCCAATACCCCTGGTTACAGAGGGAGAGACAGTGAGTACCTGATAGCTCTAGACAGCCCTACCAAAAGGTATCCCCTCCAGCTGCGGTCTGGAAGTGCTCAGATGACAGAATTTTCTATACCAGCAGACATGAAATTTGAAACACCTCTTTCAAGATGCTTTTACATATGAGCTGATTAATTTTTTTTTGTTGATCTTGTCTATTCAATCTGTCATTTGAACCCCAGAGACCACCAGCAGAACAGCGGGCAGACAATGCAATAGCAAGAGATCACTAGGAAAAGCTAGAAAGTTAACACTTTCATATACTATAAGAAAAATAAACAAGCCCAAACCACCTACTCAACTTTTTTCCAAAACTCATCTACCACAGAGCACAGCTAATTACTGTGCAAGGTGGGTAGGAGGTGAAGTGGGCAGGGGGCTGAGATGGAGAAGGAGTGAATTAAATCCCCAAAGAAGAAAAAAACAAAAGGACCTGAACCACTGAAAAGGACCAAAACCCTGGCATTCTTTTTTCCTAAAATCTTTTAAATCATTCTAACTTTACTTACCACTGCTGTACTGCTGTTTCTCACATCCTCCTCCAGTCCTCCACATACAGCTTTTCTGTCCCTCTGTGAAGCTTAACTCTGCATTACTGCCCTCTCATTTCCATGGTATTCCTTCATTTTCTACCAAAGCAATAAACATTTGATCTAAATGCATAATTCAATGCACTGAAAAAGCTTGCCCCCGAGATGTGTTTTTTGGACCCATTCCTCTTCACTCATGCACAAAAAATTACTGACTCTTTCCTCGCAGTATAAATTCTAAGAACCTTAGAAACTTAACAGACAGAAAAAAGAGGTCAAAAAGTCTAACTCTCAGTAAAAAGTAAGGCACTGAGCTGCTCTACTACACCTCAGTGTTGACTCTGTCAGGTAGACCCCAGGAACACAAGAACAGAGGGCTCAGATCTAAAATTTTACTCTCTCACAACAAGAAATATAGAAAACAGCAAGAAGGGAGCTACATTAAAGATGAAATAAAGATGATAACACGTACAAAACACAAATCTCAGGAGGTCATGACACATTATTAGCCAAATAACATGCACATAACAAAAACCGCTGTTAACCAAATCAGTCAGTGAAATATTGACCTCAGAAGAAAGACGGGCATTAAAAATTAAACCTGGTTAGGAATTCAACATGTATATCAACCACTGATGTGGAAAACCTGTGTCAAATTTCTTTTTTACTCATACATTAAATGATGGTAACATGCTCTCTTAAGATTTTAAAGAATGCCCACTTACGGTCACCAGGCTAAGTACTATGTACAAGCATATTTTGAACAGATGGAAAGTGAATTAATAATGGAGCAACAAAAATGCATAATTTTGTACAGTACATCTCAGAATGAAAACATGATGCATCCCAAGAGCAAAGTGTCTAAAAATTTTGAACCTCTGTGTGTACTCTTGGGGTGGTACACACTAACCAAACGAAACAGTATGAGCCTTCCTGGCCTGGAGGTGACTAACATCAAGCTCAAATGTATCATTAAGCAAAGATTACAAAACTGCAATTTGCAGGTTACAGTTGAGATCAAACCAAAGGGATCTATTCAGCTACATGGTTGTCACTTAGCTCTGTCATTGTCAAAAAATTGAGATGATAGTATTCTTAAAGGATCTTTATGGAAATAAAGACCATTTTAAGTCTTTCTTTGGTGACAATCCTCAAATAAAATAGAATTACCACCACGTTTGTCATATCAGGAGGCTATTGCGTGAATCTTCAGGAAAGACAGGAAAGGCATCTAAAGACAGGAAAGGCATCTAAACTACTGTGACAAAGAGAAAAAAAAATATACACACAAATAATATCAGCCTTTAAATGCACTAATATACGTTTAGAGAAAATAAATGTCTTGTCTTGGCACCTTAAAGGCTCCTGATATTCCACAAACACATTTTCACATATGACAAACAAATGAGTTGGTTACAAAATCACAGACCTCCTGAAGTTTATGTCTTTTTATTACTGTTCAGCAATGAAGCTTGATCAAACAGTTGTAGTCAGATTAAAGAAACAATTACCATTTTCAGTATTCAAGAAGTGCGTGTTAGTCAAGTCAAGCCTAACTTAGGTGGGAGTATGAATATGAAAAACATTTTTTTCTGGATATAGAACGCAGATGAGATCTAAGGTTCCAACTCAGCTGACTACCCCAGTACATCCACTTCAATCATGCAAGCAGCCCAACCAATTTTAAAAAAGGCTGATTTCATGCTGCTCATATTTGATTAAAAAAAAATTGTGTTTCATACCTTTATATTTGTAACACAAAAGCACATCTGTCTAAAGCAGACTGTAAATGGTCCAGAGGAAATGTTAATTCTGGCAAGATATTTCCCAATACATTGATGTTTTTCAGTAAGCTGTCAGAACAACACACTATAGCTATGAAACAGGAAGAGCAGGGAAATGTAATATTCAAGTAATTCCACTTTGGTTAGTGCTGAACTTTTCTTCAGGTAATCATTCTCCAAACATCTCTTCATTATTGGAGTACATCTGCAGGAAAAAGATTTAATAACATATACCTAAAAAATGTTATTATAAATATTTCCTTTTGAGGATTTGGGAGTTCCTTGCTTGGAATTTTAGATTTCCCAATAAAAAGACAAATCTAATCAAACTGATGCAAAGAATTACTGTAGAATAAATTCAATGATTGGACCATTCAAAGGAGCAACCATCTTGGAAAACAAGAAGTTTGCATTACCAAGAGTTTGAGAGCTGTCCCAGTAAACAAGGAGTAGCTGGGTTTCTTTGAATGGTTCTTCCTTCTGCAGCTACCCACAGCTCAATGTCTGATTAGGAGGTCTTGAGGAAAAGTTACACCTCTTAGGTAAAGAAAGCAAGTTTCATTAGATGGAACTGTTTCCTCTATATCAGAATGAAAAAAATGGCCACGACATTACATGGTGACACCAGCTTAGTACTCCTGGCTGATATTTAAATCAGAATCACTAGCCACACAGGATCATTATATAATTCCATGGAATTTTTATAGGAGCAGTACAGTTAAAATGGAGCTCAGCCAAGACCAATATTCCTGAGGGATGAGTGATGTTTGCTTCAAATTCAATTGGATTGATTTAATTTCAGTTCCTCTGCCAGGCTTTTCCATGGGTTGTAAAGGATCATGGCTGAACAGCAGCTTTTACCTTTCAGTCTGTTTGCATGCATTAGATCAGATGCAAGGTCTGTGTGCACAAGTGTCTAAGAACAAAGGCAAATAACTTGAATGGTTATTAATGCTGCAGATCTGCTCCCAACTTGTTCAGGAAGTGCCTAGCTCAGAACAGCAAAACATGCACATCTAGCTAGCCAGACCTTGAGAGGAAATTTTGGAGAAGAGACTCATGGGAAGAGGGGGCTAAATAAATTGTTATCTTTGCTGCTTGTTTGTTTTGGTGGACAGGGGAGGCTGTGCCGTTTCACAGCAAAGATTTAGATAGCTAGTCTGGGCAAACAGCTCTGGCATTTCCTCACTTGAATGCTTAATTTGTCAGCCTTCAGTTTTTACCTTACCTGCTTTTCAGACAGAAGACAAATATGTTGCAATCCTTCAGAGAAAAATCTAACTGTAAAATTTCACTCTCATTCTCTTTCCAAGAAAATGACAAGAAGAAAGGAAAAATTAATGAGAAAAATCACCATACAACATCAAATTAGTCTGACAGCATTCAGGATTTCAGGATACAATATAAGATTGTTCACCACTACCAGAATCTAGAATATGAAACAGTGCTATAAACACAAAATTCTTTCTATGATACTGACTTTCATAAAAGTGTTGATAACCACAAAACAGTGCACATTTTTTGTAACAGTTAGTGTTTCATATCCAATGGGAGACTTAGAATGGACTTGTCTGATGGCATTAAGCATGTGAAGTAAAAGGAAATTACTCCTGCACAAGACTGCACAGTTTCTTTTTCTTTTATATTCAGTTGCTGGTTTGTATGTGCCCCGCAGAAGTAGGTTCCTTAAACTGCCATACTTCCACGGTCCCACAAAACCAAAGGGAAAACAGAGGACTGAATTAACTCCACCCAAAATGATCTGATACCAGTATCTCAGAGAGGCAGATATAAGCCTTTCACAATACGCTCAGTAGACTGTTCTCCAGAATCACCTTTCACTGACCAGCTGTTTAAACATCTGTTCTAGACCTGTAAATTCCCCAAACCTTTACAAGACCTCACCATTAACGCAAACACAGTTCAAGCTTTGCGTTTATTTGTGAGGTTTTCCTCTTAGAAAATCTTCAGTCAAAAAAGAGAAATATTTTACATGTGAATGCTTACTGACCCTGCATGAACTAAATTACCTTGCCCCAGGCAAGCAAAGTTCCATAGAGGTTAATTGGTAGTTTTTCTTCAAATAATACATACTACATTTCATTACTTATTATCAGGTCATTTTACGTAGCAACACAGCCGATAAGGAATTGCACAATCTCAAGGGCGTTAGTGAATTGTAACCGCTTTGAGAAAAATCTGGATTCTGTTTAAAAAAAAAAAAAAAAAAAGGCAAAGCAAACTCAGCGGTCCAGATTCGAAACTCATCTCTCACACAAGTATATTTGCAGAGAAACTCTATTAATTTCAGCCCTACTTGGGAATTCACTCTGGCTGCTGGCAAAAGCAGATATCTAGAATCTTAAATGCTAGAATGCAGTCCTCAATTCAGGGAACTGCCTTCTTGAATACCTTTTTAAAATTATTATTTTGGGATCACAATCCTTTCCAAAATACTTTTTTACTGTGACAGTAAGTACTAACGTTGATTTCAGCAGACCTACCCAAAGTTGGTAAATTTTAATCTCTGAGTAGAATACCAGGATTTAACCACACACGGAAGTCCCTAAAATAATGAAATGTATTTCTGCAGGGAAACATATTTCTATTAAACATTTAATTATAATTACAATTTTATCTATACTTTCAAGCTAATAACAAGCAAAATCTTGTGCTGTTTTTGGCCCAACCTTTGGAGGCACTGAAAAGCATCTAAGAAATTGTCAACTGACCTTTAGGACCTAAAGGCCAATGGTCACTGCACACCTTGTGAAACAAAGAGGATTTTTCTTTTAACTGAGCTTTGCATTTTATTAACAGTATTTGACCATTATTCTACCAGATTAATCCATTCTAGGAGGTCTGTATCATAAGAATGAACGTGAATTTTGACATTCATTTCAGTGCATGAGGTGATGATCCCTCAAGTTCAGGAAACAAAGTCTAATGGTTTTCCTCCTTTTTTTCCAGGAGCCCTAAAAGAAGTAAGGTTAACTGGAAAGCAATTTGATTGCATGAAGACATACAACAAGACAAAGCATCATACGCAAATTGTAATCTAAAGGTAGAAAACAAAAATTCTTTGTGAATCCTGAAAGTACACTTGGGACCTTTTATTTCTCTGCATCATATCCCAGATTTCCCATCTCCAGCTGGTGCAGATAGATAACAGAATGACTTTGGACCTCGTTAGTGGAAGGGCAGTCAAGCTCCACACATGCATCTGGAGGAGTGGCTACAGACAAATAACCAAAGGCAGAAACCGCAGAGACAACATATGTTTTTTATGGAAAACACAAGTCACGGTAAGAAATGAGGCTTAATGTATGCTACTGACAAAAAAACCCATGGGAGCTGAAA